GCACGGTGGAAAGGTCTGGCGGAGGAGAGCTGCTCACATCACAGTGGGCAGGAAGTGGAGAGACAGGGAGGAGCAGGGAGGGAGATAAACCCTCCAGGTCACACCCCTAGTGACCTGCCTTCCCCCACCAGGGTCCATCTCCTAGTAATAATTCATCTTAGCACTCCCATGACCTAATCCGATTACCAAAGCCCTGCCTCTGAGGGCTCCTGGGTACATCTAGATAGACATCATAGCACTGCAGATGTTATTAACTGAGATGAGGTCATACTGGAATAGTGCGGCCCCTAATCTGGTCTGACTGGTGACTTTGGAACGGAGGGGAATTTGGCCACAGACTTGCACTCAGGGAGAGCATGATGTGAAGACTGGATTTACGTTGCCACATGCCAAGAAGCCACAGGAAGCGAGGAGAAGGGCCTGGCACAGGTCCTTTCCACAAGTCTCCAGGTGGAGCAGGGTCCTGCTGACCCCTAACCTGGCACTTCCAGACTGCAAGAAGGACGTTGCTGCTGCTTCAGCCTTCAGTTTGTGGGACTTTGTCATGGTCATTCCAGCGAATGCAGGGATGGCTACTGGGGCCCCAGAGGCTCACATATGGGGTCTGCAGGACATCAGCACCCTGCCCTGCACAGCACTCAGGGGAAATTCCCTTCCCACCAGCCTCCCAGCCTTCCCAAGGTCACCTAGGGTAGCTTTAACCCACTTCTATGCTTTGCCCTCACACTCACGGAACCCCATCTAGTGCTCACCACTGGCTCCTGAGACCAGGAAGAAACACTTCTGCCCCGTTGTCCGGGTGGGGCTCCCCACTTCCCTTTTGCAGTTCCACTCCCTAGCTCTGATACACTATCAGAAACACATGCCAGGTTTTAAAATTTCCTGGAGTCTCTTCCTGTTGGCATGCCAGGGAACAGCCTATAAAATGTTTTGACAAGGGAGGAGGGGTGTTGATGCTGCTGGCCTCGGTCCTGCCAGGGCACAGTCATCAAATTTATCACCGCATGTGCTAGCAGCAGATGGAGGGGCACTCCTGCGAAACGAGCCCAGTTAATGAGCATCTTGAAATCTAGTGTATTAATAGGAAATGAGGGGGTGCAGTAAGGCCAGCAGACCAGGAGCCAGTTGCCATTGAGAAGATGGTTTGTAGCAATTCCGAAACAGGGGCAGACCATGCCGAGAAGGACCATATAGGGAGCTGAGAAGGGTCAGGAGGGGAGGGGCTGTGGGGTGGTTTCTGCAAGGAAGAATGGCACCTGCTGGGCGAGCAGCCCTAGGATCGGCTGGTTAGGACAATTTCAGCACAGGGGTGCCAGACCAGGTGCACCATGTCCCCAAGCAGGGAGCCACCTACAGCAGGTGTTGGGGACTGGCTTATATCTGAGTTGGTGGCTGGCTTATGTCTGAAGAGCATGCCCTGCAGAAATTGTTTCCCAGTTCCAGGCCTGGCTGGCCCAGGCAGGAGTCAGCAAGGACCCAGCACTGAAGCAGCAGAATGCAAAAAACAAAAACCAGGTACCATACATTGAGGAGAACGTTCTGTGGATGCGATCTGTGGATATGACCCCTGCGTTACCAGCTGTCCAGATCCTGGTCAGCTTGGGACGCCCACAGTGCCCCGCGGCCAGGCTGTGGGGAGAGGTTGGGCTCCTGTGAGGTTCTATAGACCCCCTACGGCTCAGGGTCCAACACGGAGGAGTCTCTTCCGGGAAGCCCTCCTTCCCCGTGCACCCGGCCTCCACGCCTTCTGCTCTCCCAGTGCCGGGCAGTGGTCCCAGTGGGCACACTCACCCGGTCAGGTTTCTGTCCCTGCCTCAGCCCTGGATTAGGCCTTAGAATGGCCTGGGAACTATAAAAGTGCCAGTGCCCTGCCTGCGAGGTGGTCGAGGGAGCGCTGGTGGTAGTCCTAGGTGGACCCCACTGACGCTCAGCGGGTGACGGGCAGGCATCCTGGGAACCGTCACCCCAGAGCATGGGGTCCTTGGGGACAGAGGCTGCATATCCTTCAACCACAGGCACAAGGCTGGCTTGTGGTAGGTCTGCCACCGCAAGGCAGGAACTACTTCTGGAATAGGAAAGAGGATGGGAATGAGACCCTGCGTGGTCTCCATCAGTGAGCTTTGAGCTGGAGACACAGGGCCCAACACAATGCTCCCCTTGTGGCACTGATTCCCCTCTCTGCTGGTCTACGGTGAAGCCTAGCACTTTGTGGGGAAAAGCTGCAGAGCCCTCTTGTGCCCAGGATCCCTGCAGTCTCCACCAGCATCTTGCACCAGCACTCATGGACAGCGACTGTATGTGTCCGCTCAGCTCGTGTCCCTCTCTGGATCATCCTGGAGGCCCTGGGACAGTCCAGTGCTCACCTCTGAGTTTGGGTTTGGCCATGTGACTTGCTGTGTAAATTGGGATGTGGTCAGCGGCACGACATGGCTGTCCCTGCTCTTGCTTTTGTGTGGTCTTGAGAAGGCCAGCCAGGCAAGCCCCCCAGAGCATGAGCAGGAGGTGCAGGGCTGAGTCACCCTGTGAGCCACAGTGCACCAGTGACAGCCAGCTGGGCCTCAGGTCTGCCAGTGAGTCCAGCCAGCATAGGCAGAGTGACCCCCCAACTCAAGATGACCTCCACATTGGCGGTAAACCCATCCGGCCCCAGCCAGAGCCCTTCACCCCACAACCTGGACATGACAGGCTGTTGCTTGTGTCCATCCTAAGACTGAACATCCACCCTGAAAGATCAGGAAGCTGATCAGACGTCAGAGCAGAGAGGGCTGTGCGGATGCGGGGACTTTCTGTAACGAGCAGGTCTGAGCATGATGATAAAACAGTAGTGCATTTATCAGGTGTGATCAGAGATACAGGGAATGTTCAAGTCAGGAAAAATTGTACTGCAATAAAAGACACATTGCCATGAATCCCCTTAAAAATCCTCATCTTTGCGTCAAACACACTTATCTCACTGTTCTGGCCACTTTCTGCAGCAGTTCTGGAAGTCCTCTTTCCTGAGTGTCTTTAGCTGCACTGTCTGGATGCCTTGGTGTCCTCAGTCCATTGAAAACACTTCCCTTTCATGAACATTTTGACCTTGAGGAAGAGCCAGAAGTCGCATGGTGCCAGCTCCAGTGAATAGGGTGGATGAGGGCAGAGCAACGTGTGTTTACAAGCTGCCTTTCCAGGAAGCCACTGAGCAGCAGCAGTCACTGTATGTTTGCCCACACCTTGTGAAGACACCCAGGAAAGAAGACTTCCAGACCTGCTTCAGAAAGTGGTGGGAACAATGGGATGAGTATGTTTGAACTGAGGGGGAGGATTTTGAGGGGGCTTCATGCCCATGTGTCTTTTACTGTAATACATGTAAAAAATTTAAACATTCAGGTATATTTTGATCACACCTCATAGTTAATGTTTATAGTTCACTGGAAACAAGGCTCGTCAGCTTGTTTTGTGAGGCAACACCTAAAAATCCCAATGAGAGGGCCTTTAAATAGCAGCGGGGAGTTCCCTGTGTTGGTCACCGCCTCGGAGAGCGTCCACAGCAGGTGCGGTGGACGCCAATGCAAGCGTGCCCGTGACCCACTCAGGAACAGGCAGAGGGGCTCCCCTGCAGTTCGCTCAGAGGAGAGCACCCAGCGCAAATGACCGGAGATGTATATAATTAAATTCTTGCCGAGGGACCTAAAAGTTGTCACATTCCTGGAAGATATCAGGTGTGAGATTTTACCTGGCCTCTGGCCCAGGTGCTTCCCTGAGCTGCAAGGTCCCAGGAAATCCCTGCCTGCCTTTGGAGAAAATTCCTGGGTGGATTTTACGTGCCGGGGCAAGTGTGAAAATGAGAGCTGGAGCTGTTGGCAGAAAGAGTAGAAACGGCCTTCAGGAGGCCTTCTTGGTCCACTGAGCACCCAGGCGGGCAGTGTCTTTGGAGACCCTGCCTTCCACGGCTAGAGTGCTCTTGCTCTGTGGGCACCACCCAGAGGCTGAGCCAGACCTGGGGAGCCTGCTGGGTCCCAGGCCACCCCTGCCTCTGTTTCCCTTCTGTTCTGCCTTGGATTGTTTCCTCTCCCCGACACTGGTGTTCTGGGATATGGATTCCAGTCCCCCAGCACTTTGAGATGGAACCATATTTGAAGATAAGGTGTTTAATTAAAGGACTAAAAGAAGTCCCAAGGGCAGCCCATCTGCCTGGTGTCCTCAGAAGAGGAGATGAGGTCACAGACTGCACAGAGAGACCCATGCGAGGATATAGGAAAGACCCTGCTGGCTCCTAACTCTTAGACATGCCAGAAGTGAACATTTGTGTGTTAAACCCCCAGTCCGTAGGCTCTGGGCCTTGCTATGGTGGCCCCGGCAGGTGACACACCTGGTTTCTGATGGGGGTGATCTGCTCATCCTGGTCTATTTTTCCATCCATCAGCTTCAGTGATTGCTCTAAACCCCAGTGGACATTTATTCTTCTGTGGCTCCCATGGTCCTCAGAGCACACCCCAAACCACTGAACTCCAGAATCTAACACAGAAACCGAGGGGTAGCTCACTGGGGTAGGACAGGGCTGCCTGGGGCTCTACCAAGGGCAGACATGACATCTTGCTATCCAAGATGCGGTCCTCAGAGGACCCATGTCACCCTCATGGTGGAGCTGTGGAGACTCAGTGTCTCAGGCCCACTCAGACTTCCAAGCTGACCTGAGACGGTGTCCAGGGGACCCAGAAGTGGGGGACCACTTCCCCGTCTTGACACTGAGGAGTAGAGAGGTGAGTGACTCCGAGTCACAGGTCCCCATTCCTGTCCCCAGTGCAGGAGATGAACAGCAATGACTTCAGAGGCCAGTGGAGCTCAGCTCAACTTGCCAGGTTGGGTTGTAGCCCAGAACTGGCGCTGCTGCCCACCCACCAGGACGGGAACAGAGGAGGGCTTTGCTTGCCAGCCCTTGTCTCCAGCTCACCAGCCCCCTGCTGCCCAGCACCCCACGCTTTTCACGGCAGCGGCCCCAAGGAGTCCCACAGGCTTACCGTGTTCATCCAGCAGGATGTTGTCTGGCTTGATGTCCCTGGAAGAGAAAACAGAGACATGGGCGATGTGATTCCTGGGCTCAGCTGAGGGGACCTGGTGCCCGCCCCCGTGAGGTCTCAGACCAGCCAGGAGAGCCATCATGCTAAGAGAGCCCCTGGAGAGAGACGCTCACTTCTTTTTCCGCCCTGGAACTGCAAGCAGATTGCTTGAATATTGTTTTTCTAAATATTTTGAATTTTTGACGTCTCTCTTGCAAGCATCTAAGAAACTCTCAGTCTGTGCATCTGTATTTCTACTGTGTTGTTCCAGTAGAGACTGACGGCACGCGTGGTGTGTGTCAGGTGGCTGAGGCACCTTCCTGTCCCGAGGATGCTCGGCACCCCCAGCAGGGACGGGGACTCGGAGGTCAGTACACGGCAGCCTGCTGGCCAAATCCACACCTGGGCCCTGGTTTTGTATATGTGCTCTGTAAACTTAGATTGCTTTTATAACTTTAAAAGGTTGTAAGGACAAAGTAACACACAAAGAAACAAAAACCGAAAGGAATATACAACAGGGACTGATGCAGCCAGGGAGCCCGAAAGTTTTAACTCTCTGGCCCTTTGTGGAGAGCGTTTCACACGGCGATCTATGTGGTGACATCAGAGCCCCACGTCACCACCGTAGCACCAGGCCTCCCCACTCCATATAGTACTTAAAAAACTTCTTTTTTCAATACTAGGGATTGAAGCTCAGGGCTTTTACACTGAGCTACATCACCAACCCTTTTTTTATATTTTATTTTGAGACAGCGCCTCACTAAGTTTCTAAATTACCCCAGCTGGACTTGAACTTATGAGCCCCCTGCCTCAACCTCCTGGAGTGCTGAGATTACAAGTGAAGGCCACGGTGCCCAGCTTTCCAAGGGGCACTTTCAAAGGTGGGGGCTTTGCTGTCTGCTCATCTGCGCTGGCTGCAGTGCTGGCCACCGTGAGGGAAGGCGGGGCGTAGGCCAGCACGGAAAGGGAAGGTGACACGGGACAGGCTCAGCCCTGGCCCTGGCCCACTGCCGACGTGCACGCATTTGCCAAAGCTCTGTGTTGAAACATGGGTTGTAGAAGCGCACGCTGCACGCGCTCATTTATAATAAATGCCAACGCGACTGAGACTAATGACAGCTTTCTTGGCAATAAAGAGCAATCACCCAGAGTTTATCAAATATTCATTCTGCCCGAGAACACACTGAGGTTGTCTGTAATAAGGCCAAACACTGCCTTCCTGGGGAGGAAAGAAGCACTCAGCCTATATATTTAAATTTTTAGTCTCATCGTGACTTTCTGAGCCCATGAACGTTGATGAGCATTAAGTAAATGGGCCCCTGCTGCCAAGTGCACAAAACATCTTCTGCAAACAAAGGGATGACGTGCGGAGGCGGCCAGGGAGTCCTGTGGGAGGCATGGACTTGAGAAGGGACACAATCAAAACAAGAGGCAGAAGCTCCAGTGTCAAGTGTGAGCGGCTCCCGAGCAGGACAGCTCCCAGCAGGGAGAATAAAGACTTGTCAGGAGCAAAAACGAGGTGGTGAGTGTGACGCTCACCCCTTAAGGCATCACCAGGGTGGGGATGACCCTGCTCGGAGCATGGACATAGGGGAGGTGGTGGCTGCGGCCTAGACAGCATGAACTCCAGGACACCTGCCGGGGCGAGGCCGCAAGAGAGTGTGAGCAGGACAGAGGCGGCGGGCTGGAGGAGACCTGAGGGAGCGTTATCTGGTACACTGGGTCCCCCCAGAGCCCCATGTAACTCTAGAACAGGCCTTATTTGGAAATGGGGTTTTCGCCGATGTAATTAGTTAAGGGTCAGAGGATGAAATTATCCTGGATTCAGGGCAGGTCCCCAATCCAGTGATTCAGGTCTTTAGAGGAAAAAGGGGATGCAGATTTGGACTCAGGCACAGGGGAGAGGGCAGCCATGTGGAGAGAGGGACTGAGCTCAGAGCAAAGCAGCTGAGGAACAGAAGCGGCGGGTTGGGAGGGTGGGAGCCAGGGAGGATCGTTCCCCGAGAACCCTGGAGGAAACGTAGCCCCTGGCCACATTTTGACTTTGCACATGTGGCCCAAACTATAAGAGAATAGATTTATGTTGTTTAGACCAGCATAGGAGCTTGACTACCTGTGTTCCAAGCCAAGCCCCTCCCCTGCTAGCAGGGTCATCCCTGCCTGGGTTTTCTTTACTGAATGGACTAAACATCAGGGTCTGTGCCTTCTGTGACAGCCCTCAGCATAGAGCATTTCCATGTACCTTCTGTGGTTACCAGGGACCCACAGAATAAGCCCTGGTCCAACAGCGTCCTTACCACTAAGGAGGGAGGCATGCATGTGAATAAATGGCAGATCCCAAGTTGAGATGAACGCTTCAAAAAGAAGAAAACGGGGCCTGGGAAGGAGACCGCAGAGGGGTCCCATCTTCTCCCCCTGGTCCGGGGAGGCCCTTCAGAAGACCAGCGTCTGGCTGACCTCTCCAAGGCCAGGCAGAGCTGCCTCTGCACAACCTGGGAAGCAGATCTTTGTTTTGCAGCCCAGGCAGCACATAATCAAGAGGATAAATGGTCTGTGATACACTTCCAGACCCCACAATCAAGCTATGTCACATGGCAATGCTGATGAGATGTCATGCCTGCGGTTCTGCCACTCTACACAAAATTCTGTCCCGGCAGCGTGAGGGAGGCCCCTGCCTTGCCGGTGTGGAGAATCTGAGTTGCCACAGAGTGGAGGGAGTGGGCCCCATGGCAGGGAGCCATGCTGCCTCTAGGAGTTGAGTGTGGTCTCTAGCGAGAAAGTGAGGACTTGAGTCCTACAGCCACAAGGGTGAATTCTTCCAAGCACTGGGAGAGCCTGGGAGAGAAGAGGGGCATGTGGTTTGCAGCTTGGGAACACCCCAAGCAGAGTTCCCAGGAGACCTGGGCTTGCACTCCTGGCTGCAGAACGTCATCATGGTAGTAGTAATTACTTATGCAGCAAGAGGAAACACTTCCATAGCCATGTGCTCTTGGGCAGCTTGTTTTTGAGCCTCATTATCTTTAAAAAGAAAAAAAATATTTTTTTGAGACAAGTTCTGGCTATGCAGTTCAGGCTGGCCTTGAACTCACTGTGCAGCCCGGGCTGATCTGAAACTCATGGCCATCTTCCTGCCTCAGCCTCCTGAGTGCTGGGATTGCAGGTGTGAACCACCATGCCTGGGGTCATTTTCTTTATCTTGAAAATGGGCAGAATAGCAGCTCCCTCCCGGTGACTGTGAGCGTCGGAGGCAAGGGCACTGGAAGAACAGACTTGCGAAGACCACCGTGGCTCTTCTCAGAGGAGCTCAGGAGAGCTCTGGTAGAGCCTTAAATGTCTAGCAGAGTAAATTAGGTTGCTTTCCTGGGGCCTGCGGGGCTGAGTCCCGCAGAGCCCTGTGGAGAAGAGGAGGCTTCTGAGTCACCTGAGTGAGAAGAGCATTGCAGGGGCATTGAATCGTATCAGAGCCTTTCCTTCAGCGGTTTCAGGACTGTTTCCTCCGGCCCTATTTTCCACACTGATCGTATCTCAGGCCTCCGGCATCATCCTGCTGAAAGCCAGGGCTCGTGCGTCTGGAAAGGGCACCGGAAGCCCGACGCAGACGGGGGAGGCTGTGGCGATGTTTTCTGAGGACAGGGCCATCATTTCAGAGCTGGGCAGGCTGATGCGGCAACAACAGAAAGTAGACAGGAGAGGCCGTAAAACCTGGTTCCGAGCCCTGCTCCTAATCAAATACAGCACAAGCCATTTAAAAGCAGATGCCAGGGAGGGCCACGAGGACAGGTCTGCCAGTGTCCCTTGTCGGGGCTTCTTGGTACTCCATGCTGGCGATCTCCTGTAGCCATGAAGACACATCAAACCCTGGGGACAAGAGCACACAGCCTGCTGAGGCTGGGCTGCAGGTCGAGCAATAACACCCACTCTGGGGGTCTCGGTGAAGAGTCACTGAGATGCTTCCTATGACAGGGATCAGCCCAGGGCCAGGCACGTGGAGGCAGGGCTGCTGTTGCCGTTGGAAGAGGCAGACACCGGTCCATGCCGGAGTCCGACAAGAGCTTGGGCACCAGGGAAGGTGGCCAGATGCACTCACTGGGGCTCAGGAGTGATTTTCAGTGTGCTCTTGGACGTCCTCTGGCTTGCTTGGCTGGAACGGACAAGCTGATGAGGGACAAGAGCTAATGAACTTGGTTCTCAGGCCTTGGAATCTCACGGCCTTGGCATGTGTCCTCCTTCTAGGAACTGGGTAACAGTTAAGAAAGTGGATAGCATCACTCACTACTCATCGGACGTCACTTCTCTCTCTCCTGTGTCCCGTGGTGAGCCGGAACTGGGTACCGAGCACAGACCCCAGCATGGTGCCTTGACATTCCCAGCAGTAAGTTAACAGCTTACATTACTTTGTGCTGACTGGGTGCCCCTTGAAGCATATTTGATGGTGTTCAGTGGGCTATTTGGTACTGCATGCTGCAGGGACATTGTATATGTCACCTCTCTTAACCCTGACACATCTTTCAGAGGTAAGTATATTATGGGTGAAGAAAGAACCATTCACAGAAGGTCACTAATGTGCCAGGTTCCCCTTGAGACTTGGAGATCAAATATTCTCAGAGATCTGACCTCTTCTCAAGTTGCTCCAGGATCAATGTTCTCTGGTTGGGTGAATGAGTAGGGGGTGGTTAAAGAATGAAGGTGCTCAGAACTCTAAAGTAAGCAGTCATATTTCAAGAAGCATACTTACAAGAAATATATCCTTTTAAAAGTTATTCACATTTCTGCCTGCTTTTTATTTATTACAACCCATCCATGTAAGGTTGCAATTCTTTTTTAATATGACCCAACTGGCTTTAGAAAACATAAAGTTGACCCTCTCTGTCCTCTATATAAATTCTCTCAACCCACAGCACGGGTGGGCAGACTCTGTGATTTTGTTTCAAAAACAAATCTTGGAAGTGAAAATGTCCACTGGGACGTGGCTGTCGACTAAGGACAAACACTTACATCC